CACACGCCCACGACGCACACGCACACGCACACGCACACGCACATGCACACGCAGACGCAGACGCAGACGCAGACGCAGACGCACACGCGCACGCGCACGCGCACACACACGCCCACACCCACGCCCACACCCACGCCCACGCCCTGCCGCGGAAGCCCAGCTGCAGCGGCCTGGCCGTACCCCACGCAGACGGTGAAGGTCGGCTGCCACAGCGCGGGTGGCAGCGAGTGGGCCAGCACGGCCTGCAGCCCAGGGCCCACGGAGACGTGGGAGGCCACGCGCAGCGTCAGCTGCCGCAGAACCTGCACGGCGTCGTCGTGTCCACCGCCGCCGCCCACCGCCCACCGCCGCCGCCCTCCTCGCGGTCGCGCGCCGCCCACCACCGCCGCCGTCCTCGTCGTCGTCGTCGTCTCGTCGCCGCCGTCGTCGGCGCCGTCGTCGGCGTCGCGGCGACATCATCATGGTGCCCCCCGGGCCGAGGCTGGGGCGGCGGACGCCGACGACGACGACGACGACGACGACGACGACGACGACGACGACGACGACGACGACGACGACGACGGCGGCGGCGGCGGCGGCGGCGGCGGCGGCGGCGGCGGCGGAGGCGTCGGACGACGACGACGACGACGACGACCACCACCACGACGACCACGACGACGACGACGGCGGCGGCGGCGGCGGCGAGAAGAGAAGAGAAGCGAAAGGAAGAGAAGGAAAGGGAAGGGAGGGAAGGGAAGGCAAGGGAAAGGAAGAGAGAGACGGCGGTGGCGGCGCCGTCGTCGTCGTCCGTCCACGCGGTGGCAAAGCGGGGAGGGAATTTGGAAGGGGAGGAGATGGATGAGGATGCAGGGGTTCAGGTCGAGGAGTTGGAGCGAATACCCTTCAAGATCCCAGCACCCCCCCTCCTCCTCACCCTCCTGTCCAATGCCCCGTGCTCTGCTTCATTGTCATCATCGCCACCGCCCCCCTTATGCATCAACCCCTCTCTGATCCCCCTTCCGAATAGGCGCCCTAGGCAACTGGACGCAGCGTGGAACAGAGGAGAGCACTCCTCTCCTACGCCTGCACGCACCTCCGTCCTCCTGCTGCTCACGACTCCTCCTCCTCCTCCTCCTCCTCCTCCTCCTCCTCCTCCTCCTCCTCCTCCTCCTCCTCCTCCTCCTCCTCCTCCTCCTCTTTCTCCTCCTCCTCCTCCTCCTCCTCCTCCTCCTCCTCCTCCTCCTCCGCCTCCTGCTCCTCGTCGTCCTCTCCTTCTCGTCCATTCCTTTTCCTTATAAACAACGTTTCCCTGCCGCACACCGAGGCCAGTTTATGAGGCGGGTCGGGCGTTTCGCCTGAGACTTCCTCACAACGTATGACTCGAATGCTCAAAGTGACAA